CCCATCAAACGAAGAAGAAGTTTACGTGTTCGCGGTCGCCCCCAAGTATGCTGTACCAGCCCCAAATCGGCAATTGTTCTGCGTCGTTGTCGGAGGTACTGGGCCTCCTTTCCCCGTGACAATCCGCGAGGACGAGACTGTCGGCGAGCTCAAGGAAAAGATCGCGATCAAAACGATGTATCAATTCCCAGCCTACAGCTTGGAACTCGTCATGGCGAAGGATGGTGCCGGGTTCTCCTGCGAAGCCGCACCAGCGGTGACACTCGATGAACTCCAAGACGTCCAACGTTTCAAGGCGATGAGGCCAGCGCTCTCGATCAAGAAAGCGTTTGGAGGCACATTCCCATCAAACGAAGAAGAAGTTTACGTGTTCGCGGTCGCCCCCAAGTGGCGATTGTTCTGCGTCGTTGTCGGAGGTATTGGGCCTCCTTTCCCCGTCACAATCCGCGAGGACGAGACTGTCGGCGAGCTCAAGGAAAAGATCGCGATCAAAACGATGTATCAATTCCCAGCCTACAGCTTGGAACTCGTCATGGCGAAGGATGGTGCCGGGTTCTCCTGCGAAGCCGCACCAGCGGTGACACTCGATGAACTCCAAGACGTCCAACGTTTCAAGGCGATGAGGCCAGCGCTCTCGATGAAGAAAGCGTTTGGAGGCACATTCCCATCAAACGAAGAAGAAGTTTACGTGTTCGCGGTCGCCCCCAAGTATGCTGTACCAGCCCCAAATCGGCAATTGTTCTGCGTCGTTGTCGGAGGTACTGGGCCTCCTTTCCCCGTGACAATCCGCGAGGACGAGACTGTCGGCGAGCTCAAGGAAAGGATCGCGATCAAAACGATGTATCAATTCCCAGCCTACAGCGTGGAACTCGTCATGGCGAAGGATGGTGCCGGGTTCTACTGCGAAGCCGCACCAGCGGTGACACTCGGTGAACTCCAAGACGTTCAACGTTTCAAGGCGATGGGGCCAGCGCTCTCGATCAAGAAAGCGTTTGGAGGCACAATCCCATCAAACGAAGGAGAAGTCTACGTGTTCGCGGTCGCCCCCGACCAACCTGCCGCAAGCACCGCGGCGTCGCTTGTCGAGTACAAGAAACACAAGAGAAACGAAGACGAGAGCTCCATGTCGATTTCGAGGTTGTCGCTTCCGAAAATCGCACAGTTGGGGTATTCCACAAAAGGGTGGACGTTGCCGCCGGTGGACGGTGTCCCGCGGTAGAGTATTCCAGACTTCGAATGGATGGATGGTGTGAATGAGAGCGACTCGAGGAACGTTCAAAGGTGCAAGGACTACGTTGCGTATATGCTGCAGGACTTTGTGCCACTCATGGTGTCCACCACGGTTCGCTTCGGCCTCAGCACCCCCGTGGGAGAATCCCGACGCAGACTCACGGGGGCCCCCGACTTGTACGTCCTCCCAAGTGTTTGCGCTGACACATGTGGCCGTACTGAAGTGGTGATGGTGATTGAGCTGAAAAAACATGACACGCTGTCGGACGCTAACATCGCTCAGACGGTGGGATACTTGATTGCAGCGCATACCCTCTTCGATAAGCAAGCATATCGACCTACTCCCGTCGGCGTGTTGACGAATTTGCGGGACGAATGGCATCTTTTTTGGGTAGACCCGAACGGCGAAGTTTGTATGATGACTCGGGACAGCAACCTCCAGAAACTGACCCGCGAGACTGCTTGGCAGTACATTCGAAAGCATTGCGAATACGTCAGCTCGGTCCTCCAACAAGAACTGGCGGCAGGGGCACCCGTCCTAGACGACCTACAAGCTCTGAAACTTTTTCCCGTGTTTGGGGATACCAATACCATGGCGGGCCAGGCAAAGAAGTTTGCGCCCCTCGAGTATGAAGACAACATGGCGGATGTGTTGGAAACCGAAGAAGAGGTCCTCCTCTATCAGATGTCGAAGCGACTGCAACGCACGACGGCCTTTGATATGCCGTATGCGGCCATGTACTCGTAGTACCGACGCTTGCCGACTTGGCGCGCAGTATATGCTGCCAGTCTCGATGATTTAATTGAGTTTGTGTTATGTACGTACACATCTGCTGCAAGTCGCGGCTTTTCCTGCAGATTTTCAATGCGTAGAAGTAGGTGATTTATGCAACTCCCTCGCTTTTGCACAATTAAAAAGTGCAAATCGAAGTTATATCTGCTATTCTCGGGACCAAATTGCACAATTCACTGGTCACCATGAATAACTACTTTTAATATTACAAATGACACATTGCGCCGGTGTTCTACCCTACAGCGATGTACGTATGGTGCTATATCGTAGAAAACCACGCCATCTTCTTGTTCCATCGCGTAGTACATGCAGGTAGCGTGTACTACGCGATGGAATTAATAGCCAAGGTGTTTTGGTCACTTCAGGATCACATGTGATTATTATTGCTCAGAGTTATTAGGCATTTATAAAACCCCAGTGAATTAGCTAAAACACCAGGTATTTATTCAACTTTGTAACACAGTTACAGCAGAAGTACCACTCTTTTAGCCACGTAAAACCGACGCCAAAACAAGTGCAAAGCTCAATAATACTCGGAGTAGTATTATTGTGCTTTGCACTTGTTTTGGCGTAATAATACTCGAAGTAGTATTATTAATAATACTTCTATTATTAATAATACCTCCAGACGGAAATAAACCGACCATAAGGACAATTTTGAGAATTTTCAAATTCCGCAAATACGTGCTTAAAGTACCGAAAGAAATGCGTCTGATTGGCTTGATTTCGTTAAAAAATGAGTATACCAAATTATCGATACTCACTGTCAAGATTAAGTCATACGGATACAGTTCAGTTATCCGAATGATTGGAATGTTGATCATCAACTTTAGAGGTACCGTACATACTGTACCGGTATAAAGAAATCCTACTTCACTTGTCAGGACATTATAGCACGTGACCTAAGCCGCAAAAGACGTCAGTACGACAACTACATCAACCAATGAGTTCAAGGCGATCTCCCACCGAGAGGCGTCATCAGTGGATTCTTCGGCGACTCCTCGTGGGAAATCGGCTTGAACTACAGTAAACCTACATCATCACTGCCGCTATCATGCGTCCACAACAATGCCGTGTGTAGCCACCATCGATTGGGACGCCCTCGACCAATGTGCTCGCTGTGGCCGATGCGGGTTGGGACACAAGATGCCAGACTGTCGTGTTCTGTCCCTACGCGCATCGGCCGAGGCACAGAAGAGGCGCTGGAGTGGTGTCGGCAACCACTGACGACATCATATCACACGAACTCCATACTAGCAATGGCGCGCCATGCAACCCGTGTATTGTAGTGGTGGGCAACAGGAGTGTAGGTTTTTCATGAAAGGACAGATCTATATGAGTTTCATTATGGTATTCGTATCACTAACCTTGGAGACCGACACAATGCCCACAAGGCACACATGATTCCATGGGTATCGATCGTTATGCGATGGACGAGTTGGTGGTGGTATACATGATTATTAACTTGGTTGCAAAACCCTCTTTGCATCACTTGTGTACTTAACGACTACAAATACAGACAACGAGGGAATTTAAGGCTCATCGAATTTTGATGTTTCACACAAGTTATTTCAACCAATGAGCAGCAAATCCAAAATTACTCGATTCCTATTGGTGAAATTAATATTCACGCGCCAAACTAAAAAGCGCGCGTGACAACCTTCGTGTCCGCTGCACTCACAAGCGGATTCCACCCACGATCCTCATGGAGTCCACGGCTTCTCCTACTAGTAGTGCTTCCAATCCTGAGCGCAGGCACACCTATCCGATTGCGCTTAAGCTGCGTGCAATCGAGATGCTTCGATCCATGCCGTACCGACAAGTCGCGGCCGAGCTCTCTGTTCCAAGCCGAACTGTGCGCAACTGGCAGCGTGTGGAGGATCAGCTCTTGGCCTACAAAGGGAACAAGAAAACGACGAACTTGCCTGGTGCTGGCCGCCCAACCATACTGCCGCAGCCTGTCGGACTTCTGGCATTCATGGACGCTCGCCAGACCCAGGAATGGGTCACGCAGTACATGGAACGCCAAAAGACTGGCCGTGGATACGACCACCTCCTCAAGCTGCTGCAGGAGTTCTACCATCGAAACGGATACACCCACCAGCAAGCCTGCCGAGCGAAGAAGGTCCTTTCGGACCTTGAGAGCACCCGCACCGATCAAGTGATGGGGTGCATCGTGATTCAGTATAGATTCGACAAACCACTCGAGTTTTCGAAGTTGATAGCGAATTTTCACAAAAATTTAATTCGTACACCACTTCGATGGGATATTTGGTCGAATAGTGGATTTGATTGGCTACTTGATTCTTGACTTGGGTTTTGATTGGTCGTATCTCGATTGTCATTCGATTGAGCGCCCAAACACTAATAGGAACGATTTTGCAGCAAGTGTCGATCCCACCGCCGTTGTGCAAGCAGATCGTGGTGGCGTTGGAGCGTCTGCAGTCGCCGCACAATATTTTTCACTTTGTGGCGTTCAAAAGCCAAGTGCGAATGGCTTATCTGCACACACTTCTGACGCTGCTCACCCGCGGCCGCGTGGGGCTGCTGCAAGAAGAGCTGGGTCTGCTCCAATTTCGAATTGACTGCTTGTGACGATACGTACGGTATACTGACTACTACGTAGACTGTCACATGCAACGCACATTCCACATCCATTATGTCAAAATACTCTGTACAATCCATCCATCCATCCCGGGTAACGTTATTCTCTCTCTATTAGCGTGTAACCTCCCCTC